TAGCGAAAAGGACTTAGGTATTGTTGTTCAAGAGAATTTAAGCTGCTCCAACAACTGTGCTAAGCCTTAGTCTGCTGCTATGAAGAATTTCGGCATACTTCGGCGAGTCTTTGGCCTGTTTGAATCATCACCATTCCCACGTTTGCTATCAGCGTGCATTCGACCCTATACAGAGTTCGCCATCTAAGCTTGGAGTCCATGGTTGCAACGTGATCGCAAGATGCTTGAGCGTCCACAAAGGATGGCCACCAAGATGATCAAGGGATTGCATTACCTGACATACAAGGAGAGATTGCAATCATTGGGACTATATTCTACCCAGTACCGCCGAACTCGAGGAGACTTGATTTTGATGTATCAAATACTGCAGAACCCAAACCATCCGTGTCGATCGCTGCTCATTTTATCAAAAAATTTACACCCAAGGGGACATCGTTTCAAACTACTGATTCCCAAGTGTCGCCTGGATTACCGGCGCCAATCTTTTGCAGTCAGAGTATGCAGATCTTGGAACGCCCTTCCATCTCATGTCGTTTGTACACCCACTATTGAATCTTTCAAGCAGAGACTCGACGAAACCTTGGCATACCTCACATTCGTACACCACTAAAAGCAAACGGAAATTTATTGTAGCCTACATTCTCTATTATCTCCTGCCCGGAACTCTATGTGACTCCTTTTTCGATGTGTAACGATTCATCTGTGTAAATATCCTATGGGACAAGAGAAGCACCAGCTTTTAAGTCATTCCCATAATAAAACTTTGACTTTGACTTTGTGTCAGTTGCTTCGACAACAACCCATTCCTCATATGGAATTCAATTTCACGTTCGGTGGATCTTTTTTTGCTACGATTTAAGCTTCAGATATAACTCCTAGCTGGTCCCCAGCTGGATGTGTTGATAAATTATTTCCTTTTGGGTACTTCACGAAGTACTTCAATTGGTGTTGTTGCTTTACATCTGTTGTAACCTTGCAGCTTTATGCACTGCCAGTGTGCCGATTCTCTTTCTATTCTCGTTTTTCAGTAAGTTTTTATGGGCATGAATAGTTCTTCACTTTAACCGTATTATCCTCATTGATTTCCGTTCGGTGGAGCATATTCGCGTAGTTCTCAAATATGTTCATTGATTTTTGCTCGCTATCAGATACACAAATCCGGCAGCGCTTATCGATATTGGTCACGAAACTGCCTCGAGTGGACTAACAGTTATGGCGCCGATGGAGAATTGAAACAGGGCACACTAACTCCGCGATTGCACGAAGCTTTTCGTGTTGGTGAAGTACAAGATTGCATTCTGGATGCGGAAATTATGGCCTATAACACGTGGACTGATACCCTGGTCCCCAAAACAGCGGGTTTCGATGTGAAGCGTAGCAAGTCCGCAGAGAGTTCGATCAGCGACTGGTTTGGTGAGGATGAGGCGGGGACATATCAACCCTGTGTCGTTGTGTTTGATGTGATCTATCTGAATGGGAAGGTGAGTTGCTCATCCTTTCATTCTGTGTTTTGGCTGAGCAAACTAATCTGGTTGGATATCAATTTTTGCATGCTAATTGATGCGTCGAGAAAGCGTGTGTGGTTGTGGTCTGTTGATTCTTCAAATTGTTTCAGAACGTCTTGTTAAAAATAGGCTACGAATAGTCAAAACGAAGAGAAATACTGGATGAATTCATGAATTTATTTGAAATTGTTATTGCCCACTTGAAGCTGTTTGACGGGACCGAAATGTCGGTGTTTTTCTGGAATACAAAATAGAATATGTTTATTGATTGAGAACAAATCTCTTGATCATGAAAGCTATTTCATGGTAAAGATTACATCAGATGATTTTCCCCAACTCCGGTAATTTCTGCAAATGTTTTTTCATTGTGCACCTTAGTGTGATGAGCATTAAAAGAGGTAAACCTTGTAGTTTAAGGAACCTAGTCCTCAGTCTTGCCCACGGGGTCCTTGAGCCCTCGGATAAAGGCTAGTGAACTGCAAACGTCATCAGTCGGTCGGGTCTTATATTCAATTGGACGAAGTTGGGTAGCGATGAAAGGGTTCGAATACTGAGCCTTCACTCCCGGTACCAGCTGCTAATGGTCGAATAATTTCGTTGAGAATCATGTATTAATGAGGGGACAAGTTTTCTGATCGGAATGTTCTCTTTTCGGTCGTAGGAATAAAAACTTTGAACATGAAAATTCCTGCTTCAGTTGTTATCTTATACTCGCAAGTTATTCCCGACAATTGTCATGCTGTATCACATTGGACCTGAATCATAGTGTGCAATTGCCCATCATACAATTCTTAGGATGACGGTATTTTGTTACCTCCTGGTAAATGAGATATTATTCAACCTAGGCATCGCTTTATGTCCCATCTCTCTCACACAGCTAAATTCCCCGACTTTATGGATGATATTATTGACAGTCTAAAACTAGGGACTTCAACTGAGCAGTAGAACAAAGAGGTATGTGTTTACAACTAAAGCAGCAGAACAGTCTGGGTTGCTTTCCATACATACATTTTTTCGATGGAATTGTTTGGAGACTGTTATCAGGAATGCCATCCATTGTTCCGCAGGTGAGAGGATCTGTAAGTAGTTGACTGTCACAACCCACATAAACAAAGACGAGAAGACGAGAAAAATACTGATAAACCATAGTTACAATTTTTTCACTCCTCTTTCCAGTCATTGACTACTACACCATTGCTCGAACGAAAACGCTTGTTGAGAGAACATCTTTTCGTTAATCGTGACTCGAATACCGAAATCAACAAGAACGAAAGTGATGAGTTTGATTTTCTGCCCGAACCGGTGCTGGATGGAACCATTTATCTATCCAGTTGGAATCTAGTCCCCATCAAAGTGGATCAGGTGACCAAGATTTTCAATCGCTCAATCGATTCCCGCCAAGAAGGGCTGGTAGCGAAACTCACAGTGGGTGCTAGCCCGTATCTACCTGGTCGTAGATTGCATGGAGGCTGGTGGAAACTGAAACCGGACTATGTGGATGGATTGTTAATTGATCTGGATTGTTTAGTTGTCGGTGGTTGCTATATGTCCGTACTGGGTCGAAAAACCAAACGGATTGGACATTTTATTTGCGCAGTCCGGGACGACAGAGTGCAAGCTGCCGAGCAGACTGAATTGTCGGATTCTATTCCGACTTTCCTTTCGTTTTGTCGAGCAAGTTACCATTCCTATATTGCAGTGGTCTGAGCTATATAAATGAGCGTTAAATATGGTTTATTGTCTATCATAGAGGTTGATTCGCGTTTCACCAATTTCATGCTATTTTGTGGAGCTGTCTCGGAGCTTTTTTTCGAATAAGGTTTTCTGTTTCTTCTATATAGATTTATCAGTAGATCAAATGTGGACATGTATTTCTCAGTGCAATGCTAACAAATATCATATTTATTTATTATTATTATTGATCATATTCATGTCAGCCCAACTGTTATGCACTAAGTGAACCCAAATAAAGTACGGCTATTTGTTTATTCATTCACAAAAGTTGGTTTGCTGCCTTAATAAACAAAATAAATGTTTTAAACTTCTGTTTTGTGAAAGACTACAGTACATAGTCACGATTATTGGTTGGTTTCTTTGCTGTAGTAGATTAAATCCTGTTGCTAATTTCTTTTTTCACTGTTCAATTCTGTCTTATTCAAGTCCAGTTAAGCTTTGAATTCTTTTTTGATCGGCAGAAATGAAAAGGTTGCGAGTCCACTGCACTGCTGGAGCACTCTCAGACATCACAGTCGTACTCGTGATGCCCTACCAGTTTCATTGTGTGTATAGTTCTGTGGGTATCTCCGTTTTGAAGTGCGTGTGTTCGTTTTCAATATTTTTTTCTCCTCCCACATCCGGTTGTAGGTGAACAATGGTCTGACTACAAACCAGTTGAAAGAAATCAACCAAAAGCTGCGTCCTCACTGGAAACCGTACGACCGGAAACATCCAAATACCGGGCCCACTGAGTGGCTTCGTGTCACTACGGAACGACCGGACGTGTGGATTGCTCCCCAAAACTCAATCACATTTCAGGTTTGTGGTGTGTCCGGCCTTGGTATAGCCTTGCGTGTTTCCTCAAGTCTACTCCATCTTTTGATTAGTGTTCACTGAGGCATTCGGGACCCAGAAGAAGAGAGTCGGATAAGGAAGTTTTTGAAATGAGAGCAAAAATAAAAGAGAAGTTTGTGAAAAAACTGAGGTAAATCGGACGTGTCACTTCCTGCACTTCTCATCTCGATTTCCGGTTTACCTTCGAACTACCGCCAAACTGCTTGAAGTGAACGACAAGCGCAGTTGCTTCATTAATATTTCGTCATACTCCTTAGCATATTAGGATATATGTAGATGAATCAAAGTTACCTCTTTGTTTGCGTCTTAAGGTCCAACAAGGTTGCATATGGTGTACAAAATATCATTCCCTTCTGTTTTCCGCAATTTATCAGATCAAATAACTTTTGATTATAACTTGGCTAAACCGATTTTTTCTAGAAAATGTGCCTCCGGGGATGCGAAATACTACCAATTCTATTTTCAGTGCTGTCATAAAAGTGCCGTCCATAGCTCGTCACCCATGCCTCAGATGTGTTAATTGATGCCCAATAAAATAGCATAGAGCAGTATTCACCTCGCACATGGCAAGTAAACGACAACAACGGAGATAGTGCAGCGTGGTTCAGTTCATGGACCCATCAGCTGTTGAAACAGAAGAATGGCATGCGGTTCAAGGCCATCGAAAGGGGAACGATTATACATAATTACCTACCTGAGTACCAGTATAGACAAGATTATTAGAAAAATTAAGAGATCACCGCGGGTTATTCGTATCTTGTTGACCGACCCATCTCGGTATAAGTCAACGTACAAACACGGAATTCAATTCAAGATCTTTGATCAGTTCATGCGACTAGTCTTGCGTGTTACTTCAAATCAACAACGCATGTGTCGAAGTGACAGCGACCATTACACCTGTATTTAGTTACGCACAAAATTGTACTGAACTTGCAATCTAGGAAGACCAAATCGATACCCTGGATAACGTACCGACAAGTAGATGAGCACACAATGTGGTTTAGAAGTCATCAACCGAACATGGGAATATAACGGTGTGAAATTCAGCGATCAGCAAACATCTAACCTTGAGGGTCTTGATGAACTAATGTCTTGGTCTGCGTAGCCTTCAGCCGTCAAGTCTATGGTGGGGTCTCTGTCATGGTATGGGGCGCCATTTTCGCCAATCGAAAGTCTCAGTTGGTGATCCTCATAAGGAATCAGCTGAAATTGGCTGAATCTGACGTCAAGACTTTAAACAACTAACTTCCTTCTTATGATTCCAGAAAGTCGATTGGCTCCAGAGCTCATCTTACTAAAATTTAGGCACTGCAGCAGAGCATCAGGCTCACTTATCGGCCAGTTTACTGACCCACCTTGAACCCCAGTGAAAATGTTGAGGACCTATTGAAGAGGTGGGTTAACGCGCAAGGGTAGGTATTCCACACTATTTACTAATTAAAACTATTGTCCTCTATTAGTGGAATCGTTTCGAGGTTCAGACAATCCGGAAGTATGGCTGAGCGCTGTATTTCAATCATGAATAATAAAGGTCGGTTTGTTTTGTAACCCCTTGGATAGGTTCATTATTTTACTGGGATAGAGGTGCACGTTCTCGAGAAGAAATGAGTTAAAAAATCATAATCGAAATTCATTTGGTATTTTTATACTGTAGTGAGTCCTATTGTTTGATCGATCTGATTGGTTTGGTTACCCAGAATTTGCGGCCAAGCAGGGGTGCTCTTGGGGTGGTGATAGTGTTTGTGTTTGTATAGATGGTATTGGGTTTTCTTCTTCGATTAATTAACACAGCTGAATTACATGTTCGAATCGCACCTCGTATTCTATATCCACCTTGAGAAAGAATGCATACCAGCAGATAGGCAATTGAACGGTTACGAGTCACGCAGAGAGTAGATCGTATGTCAATATCAATCAGTGATGAAACACTTTCACGAGCTGTATCTCTTAAAACATTTGTTTATAAAGCCTTATTTACTCATTGTCTTTCCATAGTGGGCTTGTTTCCACTAAACTGCGATTGGAAAATGTCAATCGCTAAGGTTACCGCTGGGTTCATGAGCCTCGATTAAGCTAGAAAACACTCCGTTCAAACCGCGCATGAAGAGGCTTACAAATTGGCTTCAAGAACTGCCCCTCTAGGGTTTTAAATTCGACCGAGTGGTTATCGGTGCCCTGTGAATTGGGGTTTCCATCACGACGAGACTGCACCTTGACGTGGTGTGATGGCTTGCGTGCCTCCATGACCCTGCGAGCTATACAGGATGGCTTTCACAGCCGTAGACCCAATCATGCCAGAAAGGTCAACGGGTAGAGGCCAGACAAAGCTCAGTCTCACAGAGCCAGCGGCTGGGGCAAATCCCGGCTTCCTTCGTTTATCCACACCCACCCCTGGAGAGGTCACTCCAGCAAATAAACATAATGAGGGACAGTTTATCGTTCAAAAAAAAAATCCGCCAAATGGACGTAGGAGCGGGGCACCTGGGGCTTCCTTTCGACGGTGGGAGAAGTTTTCGCACTTCCTTGGACAGCTACCATCCGCTCAAACTGGACAGCCCCCAGCCAATAAGGTGCCGCCCCGTCCACGTTCCGCCTGTCTCATTGGGTGCATGAGGCTAAGGGCCGATCTCGAAAGGCGGATCGACAATGAACGCACCAATGAACAACAAGATTAACCGAAATTCAAAGGCCTTGCGTAACAGGTCTCTAGAAGCGCCCACACGGATGCTTCGTTCACGCTCCCGCCTTGGATTTACACCCCACTACCTTGTGGATCAGACTTTTGAGTCGAAGGTTCCGGTTAGGGTTCCCAAAGAATTACCCGTTTGTCGGTGTGGGCAACCGCGAAGTATGAAGCGCCCTAAAGTCTTAGGCACCCATTTGGAAACACCTCTTTCCGATCTATTTAGTTCTTCCTCTCAATCCCGAATAACACCGGACGCCTCCTGTTTACGCCACCCATCGAATATCACTCCGCGTTTTACCAGCAAGGCCAAACAATCAGAAGTTACAGGATTTTTGAAGCCAAAATTCCCTTTCCACTTAGCCGCGTTCAATGTCCGCAAACCATCAGATTGGTCAACAAGTTGCCTTGGCCAGAACCTTTGAAAATTTCCATTTAGATGTATGCTATGTTTCCGAAACAAGCATACAAGATCCTACTTCAGTCACCTCCCTGCGTTCTCCTAACCCAACCTCGCGGTTGTTTGTTAAGGATCGAGTGTATGCTGCAGCAGTTCCGCCAGTTCTGCTATACGCCGCAGAAATTCGACCATTAGGAAAACAGGATAAAGAAAGACTGTCAGAGTTTTAGGTAGATACGGTCACCCACTGGAGCAACTGATGGATCTCCATAGATTCTGTTGGTTGGGTCATGTGTTACACATGATAGGTTGCCACGGCGAACGATGTTCACCGAGGCAAGTAGTGGGTGGAAGAAGCTCAAGGGTGGTCAAGTGAAGACCGGGCATGAGGGCATGAAAACCTTAACCAGGAGTCTGGGTCACATGGGTCCCGTTAAGCTCCCTGGATAGGGACCTCATGTTGATCATACCCGATGGTTGGAGACACTGAGTGATATATCTTAGTGTCATAAACAGTGGTGTTTGTGCATCTTGTCAATTTATCTGCAAAATTAGCGCAATGAGATTCCAAGTTTTCTCTTCGACCCTGCTTTCAACCTTTCCTGTCTTTCTCGTAGTGTTCATCCAAGTGGACAGCCAAAAGACAGCAACCAAAACCGGCGCATGATTGTGCATGGTTAATGGTTATATAAACTGAAAGTGAAACTATACTGTGGTTTTCACACCTCTCGACTTTTTATGTCCCGTAAACCTCGGATGATCACCTCGTCTGTCTTGGACAATGCCAATAGTGTTGCCTCGAGCAAATCATGAGTTGAAAAATATGATTGTGCCTATTCCCTATATATTCCCTATATGATCTGTATTTTCCCCAAGCAGTCTTTGTATGACCGCAGCCCCCTTCGTGAAAGTTGACTGTACATTTGTTTATTCAATAAATAGAAAAAGGAAGGAAAAAGACACTAATATTATTATTGTAATTATTATTTCGACCATGCCGAAACCATCTGTTGTGCACTATTTTCTAGGCTCCTTGTTTTCTATTGGAACCGTAATTTTGCCAAGAGAGTGACTGCTTTCGCCGTATCTGCCAACATTCTCTCCGACGGGGTCTTTGAAAGTGGTCGTGTCGTTTTTTGTTATCGCTGGAGCTTTGGTTTTTCATCACACAACCTCTTGATATACTTTTGTATCAATTACGGTGACCTCAATGATAACCTACAACACGCTAAGTTTAATTTCTGTACGAGTATCCGTGGAATATATCAACGAACCGTCCTTACGTGCTTTTTTCGTTTTGTAAGAAATAACGTTAAAAGGATCACTGGAAATTCACATGGCAAACGGAGAGAACATCGCGCTGTCTGGAAAGCTACACTTTAGTACAGAAACCTGAAGAGCATTGGTTTTCCGATTATTTTGTCGTCGAATGTCTACCCAATTCTTTCTAAGCTATCGGATATCGGCCTTCTGATTCACTATGGAGAGTACTTTAAAAGTTGTGTGCTACTTTTCCAAGATTCTTGTTTACAAGAATCCGTCGAGGACAAAGTGGTTCAGATCGAAGGGTTCCAATTATTTCGTGCAGATAGACCTCCAAGAAAGAAAACGAAAGGTGGAGGCGTCATCACGTATGTTCGCCGGTCGTGATGTAACTCCACCGAATGCATATTCACTCACTGCACACACACACACACTCACTGCACACACACACACACACACACACACACACACTCACTGCACAAATCTATACATCACTCCCGATTGTACTTGAGTTGTCTACCATCCTGGGTATATTTTATTCATGTTGGAGAAATCCGTCACATCTGTATTTATCGTTGCTGGCTATTTCAACAGATCGGATGTGAGTTCCCACACACTTATGGCCCTTCAGAACATTGTTACTTTTTCCACTCGAAATGATGCCTCCTTGGACCACTTTTTCGTTAACGAACCATCTTTTTTCCGTGCCTTCAAACGTACACTAGTAGGCAATTCCGATCACTGTCTGATTAAAGTTTTACCTACAATGTATGGTAAATGCAAGCAACAAATCCTGGTGAAGAACGATGCACGTAAGATACGCTTACGACAAGATCATCTTACCAATTTGATGGATTTAAAATCCATGGTTGGCGGTGCAGACCTACAACAACTCTTCGATCCTGATGTTTCAGTCTTCTTTGAGAATCTTACTAATTACCGCAACTATTGTTATGATGTATGTTGCCCTCAAGAAAGGATTCACCTGCAGTTCAGCCGCTTCATCTCTGATAGACTGAAATGGTTACGAAGGCTAAAAGAAAGGACGTATCCTTCGAGAGATAAACTGACGGTCAAATCTATTAGCTTTCACATCAGAAGCGAGATAGCACATCTTAATCAATTGTATGCTGACACCGTGCTAGGAGACAGATCCTGTCGTCAGCTATCGAACGGACTGAAGTTGCTTAGCGGTCGTTTAACTTTATCTACTACAGTCTCATGTGATATCAATAAGCTGAACAAATCATTTGCTTCAGTTAAAAACGTTGTGCAAGCTTTGCCGAGTCCAAACACGTCACTTGATTTCCATCTTCCTGTGTCTGTCACAACAGAGCGAGTTTTAAAGGAGTTAGATGCTGTCAATGGAAATAAATCCGCTGGTCCTGGCGGATTATCCCTAGTGGTCTTTAAAACATGTGCAAACCGCCTCACACAAACCGATGGATTTATCTTTAATACATATTTGTCAGAAGGAAGACTAGTTAACACATGGCGTGATATGTGCATCAGTATTGCTTAAGACTTTTGAGCGTATTATTATTAAGCATCTATCCTCTAATCTTGATTTTCGTGATTCCAATCAGTTTGATTATTGTAAGCGTCGCTCTACTTCAGAGGCGGTTGTTTGTCTTATACATTCTATTTCATCCACTATAGACCAAAAACACAAAAATGTTCACGTTTGCCTTTTGAACTACACAAACGCGTTTAATTCTGTCTACAGAAACATTGTATTCACACTGTTACGGCGAAATAATCTCCCGCCACATCTTTTTAATTGGATGCCCGATTATTTTACAGACCGACGCCAATTCACTTGTCTGAATGGTATTAGGTCTTCTACTGTTACTGTAAACCAGGGTGTAATGCAGGGAGCAATTTTATCCCCTTTTCTGTTCTCTTTTTATATCAAAAACTTGCCAGACACCCCAAATGTTTTCACTTTTAAATGTGTCGATGACATAGTAATTGGTGGTGCATCTTACAACAATAAACCTTCAATCAGCCATAAGTTCCATTTCTGAATGGTCCGATGGTGTTAACCTTTCTTCAAACCCCAATAAACACGTTGAAGTTTTGTTTTCCATTGACCGTAGGCCATCAACTCTGCCCGGATCATCTGTTTCCAATATCTTAATCAATGACTTAAAAGTTGAAAGGTCACAACACTTCAAATATCTTGCATGTTTCGTGTCTGCTGGCCTCAAATGGTCCTAACACGTAGAATATACATTTCTTGAAGTCAGAAGTTGACCTTTTATATTTTACGCCTTCGGCATCTGAGGGTGCCATTGTACATCATCTCCAAATTTATTTTCTCATGCGTTTTAGGCAATTGGACCTACTGCTCTCCCGTTATCTTTTCCGATCTACTCTCTAAGGACTTCGTATTAATTAGACGCTCTCTGAAAAACATCTCTAGATATGGAGCTGTATCTTATGAAGAGCGGGTTGATTCCATAGTCAACCAACACCTGAATGCATGTGACTCCATCTTGTCTTGACTTGATTTGATGTCTTGTTATGTTATTCTCTTTTCTCACTGATGCCTGTTCTTGCCTTCCCCATGCAGATACATGCTTCAGAGATGACCCCTAGTGCATCTTATGCTACGGGTCTCACACTTCGTTTCCCTCGTATTGTTGCCGTCCGTGAAGATAAGTCGTGGCAGGACTGTTTGACCCTGAAGGAGTTGCAACAACTGAATAGCGAGACTGAGGTACGTTTGTGTGACCTACCCATCTTTATTCGATTCGGATCGGCTCTTCACACGTAGGGTGATTCAGAGAACTCATGTTCTTTGTAATGTTTCGATCCAAGCTGGGACTTGTTGTCCGACTTGTTTGATTTCTTTCTCCCATTATATGTATGCATATATATATATACTGTATAAAATTCTAATGGTGATCCGATTGAATTCAACGGTATACGGGCGCATTCACGGATGCTGGAATGTTGTGTTCCAGTGATTGCTCTAGTCGTAGTTTGAATGAATCAGTGGCAAGAACAAAATACTTGAGATCGGAAGAGAATTACAGCAAGTGGGTGCCCGAAAAGTAATAATGCAATCTAGTCAACACTTCATCTGAAGCGCCATCTTTACGAGGTGTCCTCCGATTTGAGCATCTGTGAATAGTGCGAGCAGAACGCAATGCGGATGGTTAGGTGGACCCAATATTTGATAAGTACGAGACTTAAGTTTCTCCGGGTCCGCTGTGCTGAGATGAACACAATACTTTTGTCTTTCAATATAATATAGTACTTCGACCGTTTTAGGTTGCTATCCCCTACGGTTATTTGAGCACGGTGAGCGAAGTTTGTTGCGTTGTGATCTGTACTTGAAATTGTGCCTGCTCGCTTACTAGATATGGTGACGTGCGTCTGATATCAAATCAATATTATTTAATATGCTGATTGCATAATATCACTTATCCCGCCCGCTGGGTTTTAATTATTTTTTTCAGTGAGTATTATGAAGATAAGATGGTTGGTACACCCTCGAGCGTAAAGAATGATCAGTATAATGTGAACTGCTTTTTGCAGATGATGGCCAAAAGAGAATACTTTCGTAGCGCAGCAAAACCGATGAGTTGGAAAATTAAACCTATTGGTTAAATATAGTCATTACCTGAAATTGCTTTGTTCTATTTTTTCGTCTTTAATTTTCTTTCAGGGTAAAATGGCTGTAAATCGTCTACCGGTTCATGGCTCGGATGTGGACTCCGAGGGCGAACCTGAGTTGGACAAAGAAGGGTGGGAATCATCCAGTGGGAAAAACTCAAACAGCACTAATGACTCCTCAGCGTTGGACCGCGATAGTTTAGTCAGCGTTATAGACAGTGCCGGCGATTTGTTTCTCGACCGACCAGGAGCCACCTCAACTCCTACAAAAAAGCGCAAGATAAAGGAGAATGACCGTATCTCCTGGCGTACCAGCAGCGTAGCCATATATGATCAGGTACGGAGTGCCTCAATACTAGTTTTGCAACTTTTTTTCTCATAATCTTCCACGTCTAGCTGTCTTTGAATTTGCCCCAAAAGCTAAGCTACCTTTGACCAAATACATTTGGCGGCGGTGGTCAAGTTTGAACCTCAGACCGCAGGGTTTTCGCATGCCATTAATATTAGATTGAACCGCTTGACCGTTGTTCGTTCTGATGCAAAATAGTGCGCTTTCGAATCGATGTAAATATGTAGTTTTGTGGTATTTACTGAGAATTGTATCTTTGTATATTCAATAAAAGCAAGGGAAAGAAAAAGAAAAAAGATGATTTGTTTGTTTCGTTGTTTTGTTATTGCCTTGGTCTTCCTGATTCACTCGGAAAATCCATCATATCTCTTTCTCTTTGTTTCTCACCCAACTATTCTAACTTCAAACTCTAAGGTAATTTTTACTTGTTTTTTGTTTCGTATTCGACTCCATTAGGTCTACGTTGACCCGATAAATAAAGCTACCATGTGGAGTAATCGAATCAAAATTCTATTTTTTTATATTTCCACCATCGCTTGGTTACGAGGGCTATAGAAAACATGACACGTAGAGTTTTTCTTACCCGATTACGTTTACACGAACGTTAGCATAGTTTTTAGGCAATGTTTTCTGAGATAAAAAGAAACAAAACAATCTCTAGCACTTGTAAGAGATGATCGAACAATTAAAATGAGAGATTCCATGGGAAGGATGACTGGGGAATTGCCTTTTCTCACTTGTCTGTACTCTTTACGTTTTGTCTTTGTCTGGTCAGCCATAGCGTCGTAATCAATCCAGTTTAGACCGTCAGCACTGAAAAACTGGACTCATGCTTGGCTTAGCAGTGGCGAATTCCACGAGCCCCGGTAAAGGATGGCTAACTGACTATCATCGCAGAATGTTTTTTGCTTTTGAGAGGGCCTCACATCCGCTCTTTAGAGATTTGGCATCAGCCGAAAGTGAATTCGATGTACCAGACTGGGTACTACCGGTTCGAACCTACCTTTTTTGAATGTGTTACTTTCCATATCTAATTGGTAAAATGATGAACGTTTTGAGGCGAACGTTTGTGATGTTAAAATAACATATTCATCTGTTTTTTTCTGAGCATCTGTTATTTCATGAGCTTTATTTTAGTCGGAACAAGGATTTGGTCTATTTCCGATTATTTTAAATACCAGTGCTTAATCACAGATTGGTACACACTAGATTGGCAATTCCTTTTACCGGTATACAGAACTGTTTTGACTTTTCTCTTTTCAGAGGTTCGTGATATTTTAGAGTGAAAAGGTAATCTGTTGCAGCCCGTTAGATAAAGTTGATTTCAAATCAGGAGGCACCTTGGGAGTTTTCAATCAACTATTTAGTAACTTTAGGAGCATCAGGTTTTGGGTCACTTATTCCGCCCAGATTACAAATGCGATTGGCATAATTGCCGTATAATGGTATAATATTTACTTTTTTTGTAACAGTTCGAAATGTTTTCAAGCAAATATAAACAAACAAAGAATTCCCTCAATCCAAATTTCCATTGTTTACCGTACATCTTAAATTCTACCCAAGCTAAGTTATTCCACTTCGAAACCGACTCTTTCAGAGTTACAGCGATTCCGGATTTTTGTCCGGCAAGGAGTTTTGTCTCATTCTGCCTGTTGGTACCAACAAATTAGAACTGGAGTCTCGTATTTGTGCCGTTGGCGGTATTGTCGTTCAAAATGCGGGTCCAGACACTTTCTGCATCGTCACGGATAAGATTACCGCCAAAGTGAGTTTATTGACAGGTTTATTTTTCCGTTTTGTCATTCGGTGGATGATGTGATAGACTGCAATGACGACGTCTTTATGGGAATCGTAGAATCACATGAGAGTATAGGAGGATTTGATTCAATTTTGTGGAGGGACTTCGTCGTTTATAGAGCAAATGAAGCGTGAGCTGAAAGGCTAGGGAGCACTGTACGGCTTTTTCGACCTGATTGGGTCTCATCAGCAGTGTGAATCCATCCTTTCTGTTCAGTTCATTCCTCATTTGCTCTATATACGACGAATTCCCACTATGAAATTGTAGAACGAATAAGCTGAAATATATAGCCACAAGTTTCCGCCTATAGGTGAAGCCCAATATTTGAAAGCAAATATTTTTTTTATGATTCTCTTTCAAATTTTTGAATATTTTACTTCGAGTGTGTTCGGGATTGTTTTTGTTCATGTACTCATTAACCACAAGTGTCCAGTTGGGAATGAAACAGTAATTGAGTTGTGTTTGAATGAGGGTGGGCTGTCGTAGTTCAGCCTGCTTCTGTAGTGAGATTGTGACACTGTTCTCAGAGTTGGTTTTTGGCTAAAACATTCGCCTTACATGAAGTAACCACCTTTAGTAAACAATACTCAGGTGCTTCCTAACGGGTGATTGTCTGTCCTTTCAGTATGTGAAACCGCAGTCCTTTGTCAGAATGGGGGGACTTTCGGCTGGCAATACGGAAGGCAGATTCTATTTTCGTGTGGTGTTCAGCGACGTCTGGGGAACCTATAGCTCTGCTCGTTAGGTCACTTCCACCGCGCTCTTTGTCTATGCGATAACCAGATGAATAGTCAAAAAGGCATTAACCACAAATGTCACCTGGTAAAGCAAGGTTAGGAGTTGCGCAAACCAAACTGGATACCATGTTCTATCAACGAGGGCAATCCAGTTCAACACTTGGCATA